CTTAGTACTGTATCACTGTTGGAGGCTGTCTCTTATACACATCTAGATGTGTTGTTGGGAGTTGTACTGTTTATCTCCTATAGAATGATTGAGAAATTGATAGATGGAAACTTTACTTCTTTACAGGCTATTCTTTCGGTATCAACTAGTCGAAAGGCTGCAAAGAAGAAGAAGAAAAAGGTATGGTATTTATTATTTATCAGTATATTTCTTTAATTACCCACACACCAATTTTCTCATCTAATGGTTTAACTGTAGAGGTATTATTGAGAAGGAGATCACTCTGCAACAGATCCCTTTGACGCGACAAACCAATGATACTCTGATTTTGGATTTAATTTTCGAATAGTTAACCCTTGCTAACCGTACAATGACTTAGTTGATTATCATCCTCAATCATTCCTTAATTAACATCTGCTAAACTTAGAATTATTGAGTTTTATCCAATTTATGGAAATTCAAGTAGAAATATACCATACTTTTAAAGCTGGTGTAAATGTTTCATTAAATTCAAAATTCTTTTTTGAAGAAAATATTATAATGTTTGTTATTTCTTGAAAGATAAATGTATTAGCTACAAGGTGAAAACGATTGCGCAGCCATAATGATTGACTGCAAGTTGTGTGCATTGAGAAAAGAAGGTGCTCTACATTTCGCCATGTTCAATTTTTTTGGTAAACTAAGCCTGCTGAGCATTTGGTGGAGGGGAACACATCAGGCTTCAAAGGCATCGCGCAAACGTCCTTCACACACTGCGGCAGCTTTGTTCTTGCCTCATTTACATAGTGCTGCGTGCACAGAGCTTTTTAGAGTGATCTTCTCAATAATACCTCCATGGTTTAACAATTAGTTGTTATTAGTCTTTGATGCTGTAACGTTTGTATTGGCAAAAATAAGTACAGTTACTTAATAATAATGATGATGAATTCTTCTGAAACAATACATTAAGTTGGTTAAAGCTTGGTTTCCATACAATCGCTACATGATATTGCCGACAGCCTTCGGTGTTGTTGATTGGTCGGTGGAATCGTGGAGCCTTCCCAATTGCATCGGGCGGACTGCTACACAGTACTACTATTGCACTGAAAACACTGTAGCGACAGTGTAGCGATTTAAAAAAATACAGGCTTAAAAGCAACATATAATATAAAATTGCCTAATTTTCCCATATGCCTGAAGTTTTGAAATTTGAAATAAACATTTATATAATCAATTAAAATTTGTTATTATTATCTAATCATTGCATCACTTATTATTAGTTTTATTTGGTGAATTGATGAATTTAGAATTTGATTGAAAATTTTTGTTTGTTTAATATAGGCCGCCAGCAAAGCTGCTGAAGCAGCCGAAGACCCAGAACCACCTCAATTAGTGCAGAGTTAGAGGCTTGAGCAACTTTTGTAGTACTGCAACAACTCCTCATCCTCCATGGCCTGACTTAGAGCCTAGCAATGTAGCGGGTCACATTGTCTACAGCTGAGCAAATTCATAAATGAGACTTTTTAGAGCAAGGCAATCTTTGTCATTTTATTTCGCTTTTCTGGTCTTGTCCCTGTGTGCCAATTTGATGATAGATGAAACGATGATTTTAATTTATTTATGCAACATAGAAAAATGTTTGATTCATACAAACCTTAAAGTAAGAATTAACTTGTTGTTTTAAATAGGAATTTTAGAAATCCCTTTGTTTGTATTTGTGTTAATATTAGGCACATCTTAAACAATTTTATGATAAAAAAAGAATTTTGTCCCAGAAAAAAAACATCCAGTTTTAAATGTAAAATCATACATAGAAATGTCAATGGCAAAGTAGCTTAGTTTCATGTGGTAGACATTTTAATTCTGAGTGAATATGGGTCCAAATGAATTTATATTTTTAAGTACCAAAGGGAAAACTTAAACCTGGTCAAGTATATTTTCAAGAAACTGCACTGAAGCTTAGTACTGTATCACTGTTGGAGGTGTTTGAGGAGTGTGGTGATATGATGTAAGGACTGCTCTGGAATGAAAAGCCACTTTAAAATAAAGGCTATTGTCATTTATGTATTAGTGTATGTAGTCTTTTTTTGTCTTGAAACTTGGTGGCGTATTTAGGGTTACAGTTTTACAGTGCAGTGGCGTATTGAAATGGGGAGGGCCTAATGGGTGTGCTAACGGTTATGTGGAAGGGCTTGATTAAGTGATGTGGAGCTCCCTGAAAAATAATACAAGGTCATTTTAAACTAATGGAGTGTATATTTTTGTGCTCAGTGTATTTCCTGTGGGGAATGTGGGCAAAAGCTTTTTTTGAAGGGAGGGGGGATTGCACCCTCCTGTACGTGCACCACTCTTACCATTGGGAGACAGGTGCTAGCCGGGCAGTGAGGGGATAATTCAGCACTCTTGTACTTAACGGTATTTAAACTACTCAGCAAATTACTAGTAAGGGATTGGGGGGTGCAGGGTGGGATAATATGTGAAATATGTTGCTGTTGAAAAATAGTATTCTTTAAAGCTACTGGGTTGCAGTAAATATCTGTACTGAACAGAAAAGAATTAGCAAAGTTGTTTTATTGCACCAAATATCAGTACGGTTGACGCTGTCACAGCTGGATGACTTCTCGCAACTAAAAACAACTCCACTCCCTAGGCCTCGATAAGAGACTTGGTTTATAAAGCATCATTCCACTGTAAGTGGCGAGTATACTTGCAGGGTGTATCCAGGATTTTTTCTGGGTGGGTCGTGATTTTTTTAACCTTTACATAATGAAATAACAGCACGATGCGATTAAAATGTCAATACAATTTGCTCGAAGCAGATGGCAGGCTCAGTTTCAGAATTGCTGGAATTGAGATAGATTACGTCGCGCAATTGGCAAGGTCTTTGGACTCATTGCTGGTACCTCATCAGTGCTTTTTCATGTCATTGTGAAAAGACGCTAGAAAAAAATGCCTTTGGAAAAAATGTGGACCTTTGAAAATTTTGGGGGTGTTCGTACGGCCTTCCCGACCGCCCCTTGCATACACCCATGACTTGCTGTTCGATGTGAAGGAATTAATAATAATCTTGTAAAGTAATTACTTAGGATCAATGATGTTGCAAAAATAGATATGTTTTTGGTCGTAAACAAATTTTTTTTTTTAAGAGCGACATCATAACTATTCAGCATGATCCAGTGTGAAGAAATTGTGTGCTGGGCTGGAAGTATATTTTCATGTTTTATGATGGCCCAGCCATTAGGCTGGGGTGCCACTAACTACTAACATTACTAAAAAAATGTGCTGGTTCAAGAATTTAAAACTTTTAAAAGTTCCAGTGTACACATCTGGCTTGTGTGTACTTAAAAATAACGTGTTACATCTTTTGGATGAGTAGAGTAATGCCCAGATGCTCATGGTCATTTCAGCCCGTCAATGTGGAATGATGTGAACATGAAATCTAAGTGCCTCTCTACGGCTGCTACAGTTGCATGCTCATTCTTAATTCAGCACAATGACTCAGCTAGTTATGGGTTACTTTAATCTATTGTTGTTGTCTTTGTGATGAAAACTACTATCTTGCATACATATATACTGCATACATAGATTCTAGGCATCTGATTGGTTAAGAAATGGGCAATATGGGACAGTACTTTCTTTGCCGTGCCGGGCAATGTGCAACCTGTATGACGTTGAGAGCGATTGGCCCTTTGATCACCATGGTGTGTACTATTTTTAGGTCTTGTAGAACCTATGTATGAGGTATATAAAACAAATATTGATTGCGCCTATCTTCCTTCGGGAAGATTTGGGAAAAATAGCTGTAAAATAATAGACACATCAGTCATTAAAAAGCTACTTTTACTTGAAATTTTATTGCACTTGTAATAATAAATACATGCAAATTTAAGTGAAACAGCAAAGGAATCTTAAATACTTAACTTGGAACATGCTCCTGCTAGGAATGTGTTTAAATTTGCAGGACAAAAACGTCTCGCCCTACTGTTCCTGAGGTGATACTACTACCATTCATAATTCATAACTTTTTTTCTGTTTTTAAAGAGAGATGTTAGCCAACAAAGGGAAATTATCCCTCTACAAGTTGTTACAGTACCTACAAAAATAAATTACTTAATCTACAACTGTAGCACAAAACTAGAATTTTAATATATGAAATAAGTAATATATTAAACACTCTTATTAAATAAGTTTTAGTGTGCTGTTAATAAATAACAGAGAAAATAAGTTTTCACATTACAAGAATAAAAAAAAAAAAGTTCCAAGACCATGAGTAAGCCTATTAACCTAACCATCGGAAACTTAACATGGAATAAAATGTCAACCAGAATGATCCTCAAAACCTAAAGATGAGAAGCACTCAGGTGTGACAATATTTAATGCCCGGATACGTGCATCCAGGCTTAACAACATTTAATTACTTGAAGGTTCCAGTGTCCCTTGATGTGGCCTAGTAAAAGTTATAATCATAATCAATCCGTAACTTACTAAGCCTAAAATCCTGTTATAATTTATTGCTTATTCACTGCCCCATGAGATTATCTGTTAGGTATGATGTCAGCCACCTAAGAAATTACCATTAATTTCCTCTACTTTGAGACAATTTGTTGGCATGTTCTAAATACAGCAACAGCAGTTACAACATTCATTTGATGGACTCCAATTGACAATGTTCTAAGTTACTAAAGAAATCTTATACTAATCAAATTTTGAAATAAATTTGTGTTTAAACAATCTAGTGTTGACACTTTTGGAATTAATTAGGCAAAACTTGTTTTGGGTTCAAAAAGTTCCCCTAAAACAGGGTGGAAAGTCAATTTTATAGATGGCATGTCCAGATCACTTCAGCCCCACAATGGAAATGTTTAAGGTACAAACAGACTAAAAATGTTATTTCCCCTATTTTTTATTTTGAAAAATGTAAGGGTACCTGACTACAGTGTAGCTTCCCACCATTCAATCCACCTATGATAAGTGGGGTTCTACTTATTTAGTTTTATTCATAGTATTAAGTAACAAAGAATGCCTTCTAAATCGATGCTACTAAGAGACTAAACAATAATGGTTAACTAAAACTATTCTGAAAGTTAACCTCACAGAATTTTGAGTAAGCCAGGGAGACTAGAGCTCCTTTAAATTTTAATGGTTATGTAAGCATTGCACAAGAAATTGTATATAAGAAGTATATAATAAATAAGAAAATTGTATACTACATTATAAATATTTTATAAATTCAAGAATGCATCATTTGCCTAAAGAGCCAGTTGCCCACTAGACGTTACAAATAATACATAAACATAATATTTCTCTGAAATTACGCTCACTAGCAGTGGTGGCTTTGGAAATTTACCAACAGGCACCCGACAAGTTTGAAGGGTCCAAACCAATGGGCCATCATGAGCCTCAGGTCACGGAGTAAAACCACTGGTGAAGGTCAAGAGCGCAAGATTTTATAGTTTAGGATGGTAAAACTTCGGACCTGTACTCACAATCACTTACTGTATGTCGACAAATTAATATTTTACAGTCCATACTTGTCCACTCGCTGGTGCCACCACTGCTCGCTAGAACTAAAATGTTTAAGTGCATTGAAAGAAACAGAACTCTAAAATACCACAGCGCGACACATCAATTCATGCATAAAATAGTATTTTACCTGTAAAAATTTACATTTTTTTCCATAACTTCTACATAATACTATTAAGTATCTCAATTCAAGGTGTATTTTTAGTTGCCATGGCAATTGAATTGATCATGTAAATCTGTACTGTAGGTGGTAATTCAAGATGTCAGTCTTTTGTTTTAAAAATCTACAAATGGCTAATATGCTTAAAATATTTTGATTTACTCATAGACAACAGGAACACAGATACTTAAAATAATTATAAACAAGAATACAATAGTTTCTCAAGTATTAGCCAAGCCAGGCCTTATGTAAGGCTCACTTAGGCGAGATTTTTTTTATGACTTGTGTTTTTAAAGATCGTCAGAGGAGGCCAGAAAAAAATTTTGTTTTCTTATTTAGCAAATGGTTTTGCCAAAAACATCCTAATGGAAGAAAAAATATAAATAAAATGTTATTGTTGAATGTAAACAGTGCAGTAACAGGGATGGTTAAATGCTTTAAATTTATATAATCAGGATGAAATATACATTTCTTATCTTTGGAGATTTCGAGGCAGCGGTGGGCATAATAAAAATAACAAAAACTTTTTTTCTGAAATTTCCATTTTTTCATTTTTTCATGGCAGTGGGCGCGCTAATTGGCCAAAAATATAATTTTATTTTTATTTAAAATCATCATTATTGGCTTGTGGTGTGTTCACTAAACAAGGTATAAAAAAACTTCTCGCCTTAGTTTGAAATTTGGGTTCATGGGTAATAAGCCTACACCAACATCAGTCCAATTTGGTGTTCACTCTAACATCTACAGTACTGGTATTAGGCAGTTGATTCTCTGCTTCTGTAAAAAGCTGTTGGTGAGGAAGTCTTTCTAGATATACCTGTTGAATTTAAGGAGGTATAAAAATTGTTGAAATAATGAAGATGCAGCAATAAAATCAGTTTTTGAATATTCATATTAAAAACAACATTATTTTCTGCATTTTAATTATCATCATTGCTATTTTGAATTCATAATTAGGCCAAAAGAAAAAAATGGTTGTGCAACCCATTTCTACTACTGAGTATTGTCCTAGGCCAAATTCTAGGATTCATTCCCAGCCGTTACCATCCCCACGCAATTTGGTTGATAAAATAATAACTATCGGGCTAAAATCCATTTTATAGTTATCAAATTTTTAACAGTTTAGATGGTAGGCATAACATAAAAATATTTTAGTGCAAAAAAAAAATTTACCATATATTTTTTTATTGGTCTTACAATCAGTTTGATTTAAGTTTTATCACACAGCTTTCATAAATTTACACCATCATCATTGACATAATCATCATCATTGTAACCTTTATCCTGAATAACCTTATTATGACCATACCATTATCACCTTCACTATCCTCATTATTGTTATTGCATCAACACCATATTCATGATCTGTCTTCGTCATTGTCATTATAGCACAAAATATGGATTAACATGATGTATTAAAAAAGCAACAGATGATGAAGCAACTTAATGTGAAATTAGTTGAATTTAGTATGAATGGAGATCGCATAGCTGTGATATTCTACTTTATTATCCGATGCATTTCAATCATATTCACAGACAGAAATTACATGAAAAATGCACTTTACCAGTTTTCAAACTAGGATCAGATGGTTGTGTTGACGTCCTTGGCTCACTACGAAAATAAATCGAATTCAAGAATAGCGACAAAATTCAAAATATGAAATTAATGGAGAATGGTATGCAGCTGGATGGAATAAACTATTACTGACTTAAATTAACAAATATGGTTTCAGAAGTACAGTGAGGGAATAGAAAGGAATAGGGAGATGCTAAGTGTAGGGATATTAAGGGAGTAGGGTATAGGGCAGTGGTTCCCAACCTGGGGTCTGCGGACACCTAAGGGGTCCACGAACAAAAATTGGGGGATCCGCTAGGTCAAAAGGGTCTACAGAGAGACTTTAAGACCAATTTTTCATGATTCAATTATTTTTCTTGTCTTACAACAGTGTGATAAACATCTAACTCAGGGGTGGGTCAAAATGACTTTCTGATTTAACACTGAGGCCGCACCCAAACTTCAATCTTTCCAGTGCGCTTTCACAAACCTCCAAGCACTGCTTTTACACCACTTTATTCCCAGTTTTAATATTGCTTTTTACATATGATTGGTGTTGGGCTGTAAAAAACAAGGTGTTTTCTAGCCAATGTTGCTTGGCGGGCCGCACACATAGGCTTTTCATTTTTTTCATATTCGCGGGCCGCAAAAAAATCGCTGTCGGGTCGCATGCTGTCCCCCGGGCTGCACTTTGCCCACCTGTGATCTAACTGCTAATCAGTAGGAGCCTAATCAATTTGAAATAGCTTTTATCTATAATCGTATCATCCTATTGGTGGAATATCGACAATGTATAAACTTTAGACTTGGGGGTCCATGAAGACTTTAATTATGTCCCAAAGGGTCTGCGAATTCAAAAAGGTTGGGAACCACTTGTATAGGGGACAGTAAAAAAAGGAGAAATGTTAAGGATTAGATAATAAGAGACAGAGAGAGTCTTTCCGGAGTGCCAATCAAACTTAACAACTGACCAATCGGAACAGTGCCAGGCATACATGTGTCCAACAAGCACACTTTTTTCCACAAATGCACATGTTCACGTATGTTTTAACACTAGCATCTCGCAGGACCTTAGCAACAATATCCAAGGGGCGGGGCTTAGCGGAAAGATCCATTGCTTAAAGCTCTGCCTGCACTGGCAAGTTTTATGTAACAAGTGTGAAACGACCATATATGGGCATGACGACGCTATGCCACACCCATAATAGCCAAGACACATGCAGTTGCCCAATAAAAATTGAGTGTAAACACAGCTTAATTTTTAACATATATATAAATCAATGTAGATGATGAGGATAAATAATTTATGGTTAATACTTTGCAATGTTATATGAAATGAATCACTATATGGCTATGAAATGTCAACACTGCACATGCACAGTTGAAATCTGGTATTATGAATGGTATTAAGAACATGGTATCAATAATGGTATTAATATAATAAACACAGTATTACTCTTGCCTTTACTTTTCAGAATTTAGGACTTGCAATTATCCAATTACTTTCATACAGGTAATAAATCATAATTCTAATTAATTCAGCTGTTCACATACTTTTATTTACTAAAGGCCTATCACTAGTTACTAAGCTCCTACAGTACTAGCTAAACAGCAAAAATTTGTTTGACCTATGGAAGAACCATATTATAATTGATAGCTGTCAAAAAACCCTGCTTTAATCATGGAAGTTTATTTTAAAAAATAACATAAAACATGACTATTTTAAAAAATAACATAAAAACGTGACTATGCAATGTTGTACTGTCTGAGAGCTAATTATCATCTTTTCCACAAATTGTACTTCTAATCACGGCAGAATGGATTTACAACAGACTAGTGGAGCCATTTTATCTAGTCTAATTTTGCAAATAATGCCTGAACTTATCGTATGTACTGTGATAAACCCAAGAATTAGCGTAAAAAATCATTGTAATTTAGAATCTGTCTAACTGAGAGTTACGTTTTCTAGACTTTATTGCCAATCACTTACACTCCAGCTAACCTGTAAGGTTCATGTTAACAGCCTGTATACCTATTAATCTTGTTTTATTTAACACACACGAGAGCACTCATTCAATGTGTAAATTTCACATACCTCTCAGCGAGCAATTTAATTTTTGTCACATGTGAATCTTACAGTGATATGTGCATAATTAATAAACGGTAATCATGTGGGCCAGATGCGATCTGATGTGGAGCCACCGCAGAGCCTGTTTTTGAATGTAATAATTTCAAAAGGAAGAGAGACTAATTATAGAGTCAACGATGTATAATGACATCATCCTCCGGGCAATCATGAGGAACAGAGTTAAACTGTCTTAGCTATTTAATGTTTCATTCTTTCAATTAAGTTTGTAATAATTTCATGGTTCACTACACTTTATGTCTAAAGGTAGTGCTGACTTTAATAATTTAGTGCAAGCCCACATTGTTCTTACTAAGCATGTACAAAATTTAATCCTGAACAATAGGAAAATGATTAAAAGTGATAGTCCCATATGTTCATGTGACCTTTTGGTGCGAGCCCATATTAATCCTACGAGCATGTTGAAAATACAGACCACTAAATCCTGTTTCCCACTAGGCAAATTTATTTGCACAAATCAAAAGCGTCAGCTCTCTTCCTGAGCTCTGATTGTTTGCGCAATTTTTCGCTTCGCAAAAAGTAGATAGGTTCAAACTATTGATTTCGCTGAAGCGAATAACTCTGAAAGAAATGTGAATGCACATGAACAGACGCTTTCGATTCACGCAAATAAATTTGCATAGTTGAAAACAGGCTTAAAGGAATTAGAAGAGAATTAAGTTGGAAGTGGTTGAGAATAATATCACAAGTTCATTCTAACTCTTGGGCTCTCCCAAGAATATTGTATCTTCATTCCTCAACTAACTCATACTTTAACTTTCACATTTTATTGACTCCATAAGATTTTTAATAAATGAAGAGTTTTCTTGTAGAACACTTGTAACTCATTTCCTGTATGTTATTTTTTAAGGAGCTAAGGGCTCTTTTGTAAAAGGGTAATGAAATGATTCCATATGATTATTAACAAGTTAAAGGTTTTACTGTCAGACACTACTTATAAATTATATCCAACACATCATTTTTCTAGTAGCTAGGGGATTCTATTTAAAAGAAAGCATTAATGTATTTATTAGATATTTCTTTTTTAAAGTAGCTAAGGGGTTTAGTTTCAAACTAGAATTCTTCAGGGGAAACTCCCTTGTTACTGTACGTTTTGAATCTAACAAAACTTCTTATCCAATCTGACGGTAAGAAAATAAGTTCATGGCAATAATTCTTATTCATTAATATACTCCTTCTGTTAATTCCCTCTTGCCATTATAAAGTCAGTAGCAATTGTATTGGTTTTCAACCATGTAGTCTTTGTTAGTAATGCAAGTGTTTAAGCGAAGTTCAATTTAATAGTTTACAAGTATGAACAAAGGTTAAATACAGTGAACAAAATAACTTTGAAATGCATGAAACGAGATGATGAAGCCTACAAACAGTGGTATATTCAGGATTATATTTGGGGTTTTGCCAGTTTCAGAATGTTTTAGTTCCCCGGGTATAATCTACCTCGGCTTTACAACCACCCTCTACTTCTAATTTCATCTAACAGTGTTTACTTGGGTAAACGCAAAGGGTGTGACTTGAATTAGTAGTTCAGATGACTTCCACATGTACCTTCAGTTCTTTGATTGGCTTTCGATTTTGCATGCAGTGATGAAAATCTGCATTTTGATTGGCCATCCCCATAAAGTTTAAAAGGTTTTTTTCATGAATAGAAGATTACCTGGGTATATGTCTACCCCCCCCCCCACCAACACACATCCAATTTTGTGTTTAATGGGGGTGGGCAAATACCAGAGGAACTAAGGGTATATTTTTCATAGAAATTTGCAATTTTTACAGTCACGTTTTCCTGTTCCCTCTCTGATTACACCACTGGTTATTAGACAAGTAGAGTTAGAGTTAGTAAAATAACAGTAAACTATTTAGTAAGTTAATAAGCATACTATTTAGTAGTACAAAAAGGAATTGGTTCTCTTACATAAAACTTGTTTCTTGCCGATCAGTTGAAAAAGGTGGCAGACGATAAATGGGTGGTGATGTCTCTGGGTTTGCGGCAGGTGAACTGGTCAGTGGTTCTTCTTCAGATGGTCTGCTGCATAGGGGGTAAACAAAAAGCAAGAAAAAGAAGTCAGTGTACAGTCTGAACGAGGCCTTTATTGGTATCAACACTGAGAAAGCAATTAAAAAGTAAAATCTATAAATATAGATATTAACATAGAGAAGATGAAAAAAAAAGATGAAAAGTGCCTGCAAAGGCCACTGAATTTATAAGCTATTATGTATACCGTATTTATTCAAATAAACGCCCCCAAGCATTTATTTTTGATAAGGGTTTTTGAGGGGGAATTTATTTGAGGGAGGGGTTTTATTTTTTTTGTGTAAAATGAATACGTATATACTAAAATAAATGCCCCTTAATTCCACTGTAAATGTGAAACTACAACACATAAACACATAATTACCATCAAAATGTCTTACTGAGTGATCATAAAGACTTATTGATCCCAACCAGGAATTGATGTTGCTTCTATTAGATTTGTTTATAGTTTTTTTGTTTTTTGTGTTTTTTTTTTTTTTTTGGGGGGGGGGGGGGGATTAATTGAAGGAAAACAAAATAAATGCCATGGGGCGTTTATTCCAAATTACACTCTAGAGGGGTATTTATTCAAATTTATAGGGTAAGTACAACCCCCTTCCCTTAGTTTTTGCACAGAGTGTTCGATTCTAACTACAATTATTGGCACATAAATTACTATATTATCCCAGGTAACCAGGAAGCAATGCAAACATAGTACCTTACCCAGGGACAAAAACCAAGTGGCCAGCCTACGATTCAAACCCTCGATCTCATGATTGAAAAGCAGAATCCTTAACGTTGCGCTACATGCTATAATGGCAATTGATGGAAAATTAAAACCACTCATGTTGATTAATCTGGTCTATGGTTTCAATTAACAATGAAATGATTTTAAATGGCCACTCATGCCTGGGGTGACTTGCAATTTTATAGCCAAGTGCACTCTTTCCCTGTATATAAATATAGAGTACTATATTGTTTTCATTTTAAGTTATTACTTAATATCTTAGATTTCATTCTATTTTTATTTCATTCTTTCATTATTTCATAATTTATAAAAATACTTATATTATTTATATATATTTTTATTATTATTTAATTGATTACTTTTATCCAGACTTCATTATTCATTATTCCATTTCTTAATTAGCATAACTTTACATTCATATGTCTATTTCGCTTATCTGCTAATGAAATGGAAATAAAAAAGATGTGTATAAGAGACAGTATTATAATTGATAGCTGTCAAAAANNNNATTATAACCAGAACTCCTCAAATAGAAAACTACATATTAATTTTAATAGCTTATTTCCACAAATTAGTGGATGAACATAAATACAGGATCTCCCTCAAATTAAATACCATATTTGTGACTGGGGTGTCCATGGCCTTTAGCAGTTTTGGTTACTAATTAGAATAATAAAGATAAAAGACACTTGTTAATATGGGACCACATAAAAGTGGTCTGTAATTGGAGGTGGTCTTTAACGGGAGGGATCCTTAGTTAGAGGGAGACCTGTTTAACTATGAGTGCAAATTCTACATAGCCATATCTAATAGCTTGTCCAAATTAGTATGGATGGTCTCATCAAGAGATGTCCCCATGTTTTTTATGTTTGAAGTTTGGAAATAAGCATTATAGTCTGCTGTGGATTATTCATTTTTCCGTCGCTACCAAAGCCATGATGGAATATTATCTTCAGACGCGGATAATTTTGGCAACCTTAGGATAAACATGTTTGTTGGAGATTTTTATACCCCAGGCCTTCTCATATTACTCACATATGCATATTCTACAAATATGCATATCCTGTTTAAAAAGCGTGGTCTCCAAAGATCTTAAAAAACATATCCCATGGTATGAAGAGCGGAAAGTACTTAAACTATAGATATTATAAAGAACTCGTCGGGCGAGGTGACATATGGGAATGTCTACGCATAAACACTGATAGGGTGGGTACGGTATAGGGTGTACAAATACAACATCCTATGAAGTGAAGTAGTGAATTCTACTTTCAGAGGTGTTGGATGATTGGGACTACCTGCCAACGTGACAAAATAAAATTATATTTTACTTGTTTTACTATATTAATAAATATTAAACAGCAAACTGTTAGTTTACATTAGCCATTTCGATTTGTGAGGGTAAAAATTACACGAGTTTGCATATCGAATCTACATTCAGGTCAGAACGAGCACTGCTCATTGCTGCAACAGTCTGTGCGTTTGTGACATCTCAGTGTACACGTCATAAAACATTGAAATCAATTTACAGTAGAACGCAGAACACATGCGACGACAGTCAAAGATGAGTAAATTCGTTCTACATTCTTGTTCTACATTCTTATCAAAAACTCCCTAATATTGGATCTATCCTTTTATACCTCCTTGATCTATCACTGACTGGGAGTCTGAATGGACTCTTATTTGTGTTGGGCCCTGTCAATGCCTAGCTTTAGTTGTTCCATTTACAGTTTGTTTACACTTTTTTCATGCATGTTTAATTCCGGTTATTATTCTTATGACAGCACATAATATCCTATATTCCTCAGGGCTATATTACCAGACAAAACAATATATTGTGTTTTAACAACATACTGCCAGCACTGTAGTAGTGTAACATGAATTTGCTTGAAATCTTTCAAATAATGGCACATGGTAAAACATAATTTCTGACCAATGAGTAATTCATATATCATATGAATAATTGAAAAATATATGCTACAAACTTAGATCGGAGTCTTGGTTGGTAGATGGAGTTGGGACTTCCTGTGTATGGTGAAAACATGGTACCAGCATTGTTCCTCCTGTTGTTCATCTTTCTCAAATCCTTAGTTGACCTTTTTATATTTTTATGATAAATAAGTTGTTCTCTGTTGATGATAATAATTTATATAATAATATAAGAATAGCAATACTGTATTACTAATATTAAATATCTTTCATCATAGTACTCTTTTAATTATATAAATTTTTAAAGTTTAAAATTATAAGAAATACACAAAAGTTATAAATTAATCAAAGCACATATTGGCAACTTACTCAGGTGTATTGACATTTCTTTTGACGCTGAAAATTGAAAAAAAAAAATGATTTATTAGAATAGATTTCAAAATACTTTTTAAAATCTCTATCACTCCTATAAATAAAAATTCCCTAATGAAACTACTACTACATGGATAAAATATAGTCTTCCAATTATCCACAAATTCCAATGCTTGCTAAAAGCAAACAAAGGAAATGTGCATAATCAACGCGAAGACTTTCACTAATCATGGAATAGGAAGGATAGGTTTAATTCAGATTTGTTTAGCATGCTAGAGAGTGAGGGCGCTATTCATATGATATACTGAACATGGTGAATCATTGTGAAGTAATAGTTTTTAGACTCTGGCTTCAGAATGATATGCAAAGCTTATGTGCTGCTTAGATAGGCCTAGGTATGGGAGGGAATACAGTTTCAACATGTTGGCTGGATCAATGTGGGATAAAAATAAACCATCACATGACACTTTAAAGACAGCTGGCATTTAAAAGAGTTCCTTGAGTGCATGAATGCATACAAATTAACAGGCTTATTTTGCTCGAACTTAACCAGCAAATTTTATGTGACAAATTAAATGTAATATGCACATATTTCGGTGAAATATGACATCACATGCCCATATATCTGAAAATCACACAAAATTGTCACATGAAATCTGACAGTGAGGATAAAGCTCAGGATGGTGTATGTGGATTTAGTATAAACTAGAAGGAATCGGTCGTGGTCCTAATCAAAGGAAACAAAAATATTGATCTTCAATTGACCATGAGGGTAATAATAATAATAATAATAATAATAATAATAATAATAATAATAATAATAATAATAAAAATAATAATAAAACAACAACAGGGTACAATACAGAGTTTGATAATTTATAGATTGACATTTTTTAAAGAGAAGTCTTTTAAGTGAGAATGGAGTGACATGAAAACCTAATGTGGGTCAAAAAATACAAAATCACACCAGTTTAAGCAGTGTTAAACTTAGTAGGTAGGCCTATGCCCAGACCAAATTTTCCCATTTATGGTTAAAGAACTACATAAATATTAAATTTAATAATTACTATTTAGCTAATTCACTACCCACTTTTGATGAATATGTGTGTTTTAAAAACAGAAACTCAAGGCTGACCCTAATTTTTCTAGATTTATGCAATCTAGGCTTTATATAGCACAAAGAATATCCAACATATCTTTTATTAATTTCCAATATTCTATTGTACCTTCATATATAATTCAATTGTAGAAATTAATATTTCATTTCATCAAACTGGCATTTCCATGATTTCCTCTCAGTTAAGAGCTGAGAGGCACAAAAGAATTGTTATTTATCCTGAGACAAAATTTAATCCCCTACTCAATTTAATTTAAATTAATTTTAATTTATTTCATACATATAAACAGTATGTACAGAATTCAATAGCATAATATGACAAACTGTATTTCTTTGTACATTTGATTTGGCATATCAACTGTTATCCATGATTATTAGAACACACATACTCTATACTGCCATCCACGAGATAAGAGACTTCACGCACGATACTGTGACATCGTTTCCTATTCATTTGCTCAGATCGTTACATTTGTTACAGCTTTTCGAACATTAAATATTCCATTATAAAACGAATGGTGTGTACAAAATGAAATATTAATTTCTACAATTGAATTATATATGAAGGCACATTAATGAAAGTAACACCAAAATAGAATATTGGAAATTAATACAAAAGCACGTTGGATTTTTGTGCTTTATATAAACCCTGGATTGTGTAAATGTAGAAAAACTAAGGTCAGCCTCGAGTTTCTTTTTTCAAAACATATATATTCTTTACCAAGAAGCAGCTATAGATTAGATTAGCATAGCTTGCAAGTGCTTCCTTTTAAACATCATCCAAGAATTCAGTAGAAAATAGCTTTATCCTATAACAAGCTATACTTGCTTTTTATATGATTAAGTCTCTTCATACAACTTAAAACTGCAAGCTTGCTATTTCTGACCCCTTTGCAGAATGGCCTTACACAGGTTTTGTGCAGTTTTCAACAGATACACACTTTATTTCATCAAAAATCTTATAAAAATGTGTCAAACTTACACTCCTTCCCTTCGGCAAAACATCAAGTACCCAAGCAAACATGAGAACAGAAACGCAAGAGCTATAGGAAAGATCACTATCATATAGAAACTTCTTCGTATATCTCGAAGACGTCCAGGGTTGTACACATGGGAATCAAAATCCCCACCGAGGAACAAAGGTGTCGGAGTAGCTTCTTCTTCAACGTTAGTCTAAAAATAAAAAGAAATGAATTTACTTATATAGAAGTACATGGTGATTCATTCAGAAGAGTCCATAACATTAGGACACATTATACTATAATCCTTCCTCTGTGATTTGTCTTATAACTCTTCTCTTACATATGTACCTTTACCAACATTTGATCTTAAATTATATAATACTGTACCTTATTAAATTTATGTATTTGTAGTATTGCCAATAAAACTAAACAATTTCGGAGGACAGTACTGTGGTACTGCAAATGTACAATCAGTCAAAAATATAATATACAGTGTATATATATATATATATATATATATATATATATAGCTCTGGTTCTATTTCTGGCTGTTTACTTACGTTTACTTTTTAGCTGTTGCTTATCATTTTTGTATCTCTACTGAGATCCAGCCATTGTTTCCCACAGCATTGTTGTTTTCCAGTATTTTGCCTTTTAATCTATACATATACTGTCTCTTATACACATCTAGATGTGTATAAGAGACAGAGTCAGTGGGATTGGAGTTGTTTAAGTTTATGGTTTCTTTTTTCTCCTTTTTTAAGTTTAATTTTTTCATACCCATGTTAACCTTTAAAAACTTATTGGAAAGAATTTTAGGGGTGTCTTGTTAATGTCCCCTATTCACCACTGAGCAAGTATACTCAACAAAGAGGTCTATGCTCATCAAGTATGATGATTATGATGAAGATGATGATCACGTTGATTATGATCATGATGATGGTTGTGGTGGTGTTGATAACGATGGTGATTGTGGTGTTGGATGCTGATTATGAAGATGTTGCTGATATTGTCAATGATGAAATGAAATTAAATGTTAGTTTTCTTAATATGGAAACGTGAAAAAGTAGAGCAGCACAAACCAAATTGAAATAGCACCAATCAATGACAAATTCTGTGGCAAATATCTGATTCCACGTCTCCATCTGAGTATCGCTGCTGAGGCTTTCATTCACTGTGCTATTACAATTCAAAACCTCATAACCTTCTGTTAACTTTGTAGAAAATGGACTGGAAGAGCCAACGGTGACTATCACCCTAAAAATAAATCAATTTAATTTTTTAAAATACATAGCTTATGCATAAGAGCGAAAATTAATATATATCACTGCATAGTAATAATAACTAATAATAATAGTAAACATAAAAGTAGTATTATAATATAATAGTAGTAATATTAATAATACAGTACTGTAGTAATAGTAGTAATAGTAATAATAGTAGCAATAGTAACAATAGTAGCAGCAGCAACAGCAGCAATAGCAACAACAACAACAACAACAACAACAACAACAACAATAACAACAACAACAATCTAATAATTTTAAGACATTTTATTGTTGCACTATTCATGCTCTTTATCAATCAATGCAGATTGCTCATCATTACTCGACCTACATTTAAGTAGGCCGGGTAATGATGAGGGGATGGGCATCAAATGTCAAACTCATTTCAAGCTGCTTCGGCAACGTGCAAGCAGCTAGAATAGTCTCTGGTATTGTCATATGAAATCTGCAATCCTACTACTTCGCCATATCCTACCAAAGTACCGATTTACACTCTGAAGAGAGAAGCATGTGCCCATGCATAAAAGTAATGCGTTATTAAAGCTTTTCTGCTAAGATGCATGCCTTTGCGTTGAGGAAAAGAGGAGATATCCTGACATAATAAAGCAGCCAGCATTATAAAGTGCATTTTTATTATGCTGGATTAAATCTCCACCAGGTGGGAATTCAGTTTGTTGGGTCATAGCATTGCTAGAATATGACAGAACAGTGTTTGGTTCTTTAAAAAAAAACGGAATAGTTCACAGCCTGATACAACAATGTACAATTAATGTACACAGCTGCTGGCCTTCAGTGACATTTGAAGTTCATGATTCTCTTTACATGGTATACTAGGACAAGTTTTGGAAATACCAAAATAAGCTACAATGACCATTGAAAGTTAGTTTTAACACTTGAAAACATTCATCTTCATTCTAACAAAAGTTTACATGTGTTAAATTATATTACTTTAAAGCTTTGCCCAGATTATCAAATGTTCTCTATAGTCATTATGTGCCTATATATGGTCATGACATGATGTCACCATGACCATGTTTAGGCATGTCCCATATTTTTGGACAGGGCTCAAGTCACATAAATTTTTTTTAATTGCTTAAAGAAACACAATTGTATCCCAGAATGCAATTTCCAAGCTTAGTAAATGTAAAGACAGAGACATTTCAAGGACAGAGTATCTGAAACTTTCCTTTTTTTTTGGCTGTAAAAAAATTGAAGGTTATATGTATAATAATAAAAATAGAAAATCTTTCAAATACTAATATTTAAAATATAACATTAACTGAGAGAAATTTGAAGTGCTTCCAATATTTAAAAAAACTTGGCACCAACATGTCCAATGACAATGAGCAACTGACACAGGCACTCAGTACAAGGTAATGAAATAAACCAAAACAAATCATAAAAAAATGTTCCCAAAATATATAATTTAAGTATAAAATCTAAAAGTAAAAAATACATTTGTTGATAAATGTATGCAATCTCAGTCTCATACTTCTCTCCGTAATGACGGCTAGAAATTCTGCCATCATATGCATGGCAGGGAGACTGCCCTCTACTTCTATATTTTATCCACTTATATTACATGCCACAATTCACATTTAGAATAAGCTTAAAACCAGAGGCATGTCTATGGGAGGATATAAGGGCCAAGTATGTCCAAAAACCCTTTTCCAACCAGGCAGTCACACTAGAAATTTGCAGGGGTTCCAAGTCCTCTGGAAACCGGGATGGCCTCCCGTATTCCCATAACCACGTAAGAATCTCCTTGAAAAGCCCCATCTCCCGCAAATTAATTAAAATATGCATGTTTTTCCTACTGTATTACCTGTATATTATCAGTTGTCTACCGGAAGTCAGTGTCGATGTGCATTAACAAGAGCAGCAAAACAAAATTAGATTCGTTATTGGAACCTCATTTAAACAGATCTCCTAAAAAATGATTTCTTCCAACGAGGACCCTGAATTTTGCTGTTTAAAAAATTACTCTCTTTTTATCACCTTAATTTTGCCAGCTAACATCCCCCTTTCACTTAATCATCAACCAAATCCACTTTAACCTTCAACCATGTATTATAGTGCTTGATAAAAACTATCATAATGAACCCTGGATCTGCTCGTATTTATTCTGAATTAAAGTGTTCACGTACCCTTCGTATTGATCTGAGTTTTCAGGGCTTGGATTTCGTTTCCCTGAACTGCCAATATTGTAGATAAATAAGTTGTTTGCAGTTTCCCAAATGACTGATGTTTTTTGGAGGAACGATTCCTGTTCTGGATTTGTCAGCATTTCAGTTAAATTCTTGTTTGTGACATTGAAGGCAGCTAGGAAATCAGCGGAATCTACAGGAAAGAGCATTTATAACGCATCAATTGATTGATTGACTTTGGATAAATGTAACATTCAATTGATTATATACATATCTATACACTAAAATATAAAAAATGGGGAAATACATCCATCAATAATAGAGACTTCAAAATGACAATACCCTTCCTAGAGGATGCGATTAAGAAAGGCAACATCCTGTAGCACAATCTCAATATTTCCCATTTCTTCCAACAACAACAGTGAAGCACAATTTTTTTCCTATCTCATCAAAGCTAAGCCGAGACTTTTTTTACACCTTGTTTCGCAAACTAATTTTTTTAAAGATTGTCAGAGGGTGGAATAAATAAAAATAAAATTTTATTTTCTAATATAGCAAATATAGTTTTTCCAAAAACATTCAAAAGGAGAAAATAAAAATAAATTTTATTAGCGAATGTAAACAATGTAGTAATGGGATGGTTAAATGCTTTAAATTTATATAATTAGGAAGAAAAATACATATTTTATTTTTGGGAGATTTCAAGGCAGCGGAGGGCATACTAAAATTTTTTAAAGAAATTTAAATTTTATCGCAAATCGTTATTATTGGCGGGCAGCAGGGTTTGTTAAACAAGGATAAAAAAGTCTTGTCTAACTTCTAAATTAAATATTGGAACAGGCAATTTAACAAAGACACTTTAATCTTAAATACAGAATTAGGTGCAGCATGTAGTTCAAATAAAATACCAGCAATTTATTCAGTAATTATGGATAAGCTGTATGCATTGTATGTCTAGTGTGTAGAGAAAGTTTTCAGAAAAAAACAGACACAAAAAAAGTATGCTTTAAACAAAAGATAACAAAGAATGCATGTAGACAAGAATACAACATTTTTTTTGAAATTTAGAATTTTAGTTCATTTAACTGGCCTTCACCGACATTAAAATGTATGAAGAAATTTGCCTGATACAAACACGCTATTGGGCTGTTGCTATACAGAATCAATATACTCATATTTATATGGTTGATCATTCAAAGAATGTTTACTGTAGTCACAAGAACGAGTCTCTTTTATTATCTTATAAACATAATCAGTAAAATTCTATGTTTGAATTATTTACATTTTATATATAAATGAAAACTAGAAAAAATTCCATTGCAAATTAACATATGTATTATTTTTTAAATTGTTCATTATTATATAATGAAAATCAGTTAAACCAGCAAAAAACTTTTAAATCTGTTGTTAATTTTGTATTCCTTTAAATGAGAAATTTAATGTATTAATTATATTTGGAGGATTCTTTTAATTTTTAGACACAAACAGCTTAACATTATAGCTTAAAATATGCTTGACTTAGTCCAAGCATGGACCTGGTCCAAGTGTGGTTTTTGAAGGTGATAATTCATTATTTCCTTTACTTGTTCAAATAATCAGCATTAATAATAACTTTAATTGTAATATCTTATTTTTTGGGCAGTATTTCTAAATGTTGACCTTTATCCAATATGTTAAAATTGATGCTATTTGACTTGGATCGGAAATGAATATCAGTATGTGCATGTGTGTAGGTGTAGAAGGGGGAGTTGCAAGCATATTATTATCTGATGTTCCTTACTGCAATATTTTCTAATTTTTTTGTCATATGTACAGTACCAAATTTAGAGTGGAGTTTAACGGTTAAGATGTTTGCCTCCTAATCTCAAAGTTCCATTCCTATGACAGCAGGAATTTTCCTCATTACTAAAAACAAATCCAGTCTTTAAGATTCATAGAAAAAAAAAAGTCTTACAAAGCATTGTTTTATCATGTAATTGGTGAGTCACAAGCTGTTGAGATGCAAAAGAGATAAAATGCATAATGTTATATAGTTTAAAAAAATGCTTGACTTTGTCACGAGCAGTTTTAACAGGTGATAGTTCATTGTTTCCTTTCCTTGTTATTTTATGCAGTGAATGGTTGTTTTTTTGTGTTTATGTACTTTATTTCTCTGTTTCGGAGGCTTTTGAATAAACAGAAATTGAAAATAAATAAAAATTATATATTGTATTGCTTGTTTCAGATAATGAGCACACAAATCATGTCTGTTAAGCCAGACACACACTGTACTGTATGACCATCTGTCAAGGAATACGTCTCCCTATTTGCGTGAGCGTTTGATGATGCGACGCTGCTGTCCGCTGATTATCAGCGGCAGTCTAAGTGGATCGTCATCAATCAATCAGCAAGGACTTGTATAAAAGTCTGATCCAAAAATGTTTAAGACAGACAAAAATGACTGAATGGTTTTAATTTTGTTTCTTACGATAAATGACAATTATAATACAGTATACAATAAACTATAATGATATGAAAAATTCAAACATCAAAGTTCTGCATTTGTGTTGGTATTGTGCATCCTCTCATGCCAGTTTTGGTGTATATTTTTGTGTTTTTTGTCTTATTTATTTAAAATTTTGATTGATGTCTTTAGTTGTGTTGCTCCCTCTTTATAGCTCACTGTTTTTGGTATTGTGTAAAAAAGTTTCAATAAAATGCTGTTTTGAAATAAACATGATGTGTTGTCAAGTAATTTTATGAAAACAAAAAAAAAATGTTGGTATGATACATATCCTGATATATATAATTTAAATTAATTTTTATCATGAAAGGAAATGTTAACAAGGTAATGCTGCATAGCAATTACTAGGCATAATACTTCGCAAGTATTTCGAAGTGCATAATAGTACATTTACCAGAACATCCTTAGAGAATAAACTTGAAAAAAAATAAACTTAATATTTGCATTGCTTACTTATATAATTTTAGCTTTCAATAGAAAATTTAAATTACAAAAAAAAATCATCCTGTCAATCAAAGTTCATAAATAATAAATGTTTCTACATACTTCTGCAAAGAATATTTAATTGTTCTAGTAAAAGATCTGTAAATGTTGTGATAATTAATTCCTAATGCATAAGATGAACCCTCCAAACTTGATTAGCAGTGCATTTTGTCACGTTAATAAAAGTTGTATAGCTATTTGATTAATACAGCTCCTCACAGCCAGGTTACTTACTGTAAGTCTGCAGGGTCATCCTCAAGGGATGTAACAACTCTCACATTAATGTCTGAAAACATTGGCCCAAATTGCATAGCATTACATTTAAGTAATTATATGACAGTAAGCTCAATAAGGAAAAGTCTGGAGTGAAAAACCAACTATTATACAATTCTTTATGTTCTTCCAGGGAGTTGTTATAACAACTCCCTAGTCCTTCCAAGTACTAAAATATCTTGGGTCATTTTATAATCCTTTCAAAACATTTCTGAAAACACAATTGATTACCCTCCAACATCTTAAAAAAAGATATAAACTTAGAAAAGAAACTCCCTACACTCTTCCTCAAATGTCACTTGACTGTCCAGACAACCTTTTCTTTTAAGTTCAAGTTATTTTTAGACAGAACTAAAAATAGACCACAGCACAGCATTTTATCCAAGTTTCATTATTGACACACTCAACATGAGAAAAATTTATAATTTGATGCTAAAAATTAACAAGTCACCAGGCATTCATATGAACAGAGCTTTACCTCATTTGTCAAATAGCTTGTGGTCAATTTTAGGGCGTTTCTGTTTAGAATCTTCTTATTGGCTAAGGCACTTTCAGGCTAATTTGCAGTCGGGGTTTGGTGTCCTTGCTTTTAGAAGATGCAAATAAACTTGTTATTCAATTCCCAGTAGACTCAACTAACATAAAGTTGACAGCTTTTAAATTTTTTTTTGTATTTTTGACCTAATTTTAGCAAGACTTGCCTTGAAAATTACTATACGAAAGTTTAAGTGGCTATATTTTCTCTACAGTGACAACGGACCTTGGAATATTATTTGATTCATTTGCCCAAACATTTTTGTCCATATGGCAAATACATCCAAATATATCACACATCACAATTTTGTCTTTGACAGACCAATTATTGTCAAACTCTGGACAAAGGATAACTATACAGTAGGTATCAAGATAAAAAATGAAATTCTAAATAACTATGTTGCATTAAGACTGGTATAATGCACTACATCAAGTTCCACTACATTGCATTTATATATTTCAATGTGGCTTATGTAATGCATTGCAAATACCTTCATCAAAAACATTGATTGGTAGGTAGGTAGGGTAGGTAGGTAGGTTGGTTTAGTGGCCATGTACTGAATTTTAGCAATCTGTTCAAATGAACAGAAACACATTTACTCCGGTATTCTTAAAACCAACTTTAGTTGTAGTTCGAGCTAAAACTTAAGAATTGCGTCATTTAGTATTCTTAAAACGAACTTCGACTAGCACTACGACTAAATGACGTGAACCTCGACTAAAATCATACCTCCACGGACCGATTTTTTTAGTCAGCCTAGGGTCAGGCTAAATTGCCGACTTGAAATATTTACCCCAATAAAAACATGTTTTTTTTAACTCACGATAAAGTGAAACGAATAAAAACGATTGTATACGCAGGTTTGATATATCTTTGGTGTGTTAAACAAAAGAGACATCAAGTTTAGCTTCCATGAGGATAAATTAACATGTTTTGCTAGCCACATGCGATAGTTCCTGATTTGCACGAAATCCCCTCGCGTTGCAAAAATGGCGTCGCCCTCGCTCGGGCTCAACTATAATAGTTCTCCAAAGAAAGCAAATTTTCAGTCTCTGTTCAAATTCTCTATCGTAATATGTTAACAACTAATATAGTTATTATTATAGAAAATTAATTAAGCGAATGATGATCTATTATGAATTATGAGGAAATACGTTTTTGAACCACAGACGACAGCTAAGTATTCATCCGTGTTACCGCATCTCTAAAATTTTGTCTGCTATTAAAGTTAGCCCTTTTCATTGGTTAGTTTGACAGTCGTGGCTTCCCAGTCGTCTTCAGTTGAACTAGAACTAGGACTTGATGAAGTCGGAGTTAAAACTTCGACTTCATTGTTTGTGAATACAAATTGAAGTTGAAGATGCAACTTCCATTAAGTGAAGTTCTAGTTCGAAGTTCG